AAAAGCACCCCCCCCCCCCCCCCCCCCTTTTTGAACAATTTTGACAGAAGGCCACGGAACGTGACTCTCTTGATATGCTGAGAACAATAGAGCTCTTTTTTCTGAATGGACAAAAAGGACCCTTTTGCCTTTCCTGTCTGTTTTTTGTCCCTTCTTACATTAAAGAAGGGTAATTAGCACAAAACGTTCTTACCTTTCGATATTTTTGTGGAAAACGTTCATACATTTCATTTTTTGGTGGATTATACCCTCACCTTTACTTTTTTTTGCGCAAAACGTTATTCTGTCAACTTTCCATTAAATCAAAATGTACTTAGCACAAAAGGTGATCTTTCAATATTATTGTACAAAATTTCCTTACCTTTCATTTTTTGACATAATTAACACAAAAGGTCCCTACCTTTCAATGTTATTGTGCAAAACGTTCCTAACTTTCATTTTTTAGCATTTTCACCCCTACTTTCATTGCAAAAAATGTCCTTCTCATCCATTTTATCAATAAAATGACGATTTTACCCTCCTATTCAAATAAAACAAAAAGAAAAGATGATTACCAACTGCAACCATAGTCCTTAAATTTTTAAAAAATTACAAAGAAATCATAAATTCTCAACCACCACCACTTTCATAACCTATCAAGCTGCCAACTATAAATCCACATAACACCACCTTTCGGTCACCATGCCCACCGAACTCCACCACCGTAAATGTGGTTGTCTCGGACAGATTGATGACCAATACTATGGAGGAGGATATTGGGGAGAGTGAGGCGAGTGGTGGTGGAGATTGATAGGTATCGTGACCGAAAGGTGGTGCTATATGGATCTATAGGTGATAGCTTGGTGGGGTTGTGAAAGTGGGGGTAGTGGAGAATTTAGGATTTATCTATAATGTTTTGAAAGATTTAGGGCTATGATTGCAATTAATTAATTATTATTTTTCTTTTCTTTTTGTTTTATTTCAATATGAGCGTAAAATCGTCATTTTATTGAAAAAAATGGATGAAAATGACCTTTTGCGCAATGAAAGATGAAATGTAGGGGTGAAAATGCTAAAAATGAAAGGTAGGGATGTTTTACACAATAACATTGAAAGGTAGGGACATTTTGTGCTAATTATGCTAAAATTGAAAGGTAAAGACGTTTTGCACAATAATATTAAAAGGTAGGGACCTTTTGTGCTAATTACCTTTTGATTTAACGGAGCATTTTAACGGAGAGTTGACAGAAGGACGTTTGGTGTAAAAAAAAAAGGTAAAGGTGATAATGTAATTCGCCAAAAAATAGAAGATAGAGACGTTTTCCACAAAAATATCGAAAGGTAGGGATGTTTTGTGCTAATTACCCATTAAAGAATTCAAAAGCTAAGATATCCACTCAGATTCAAAAACCCACAAAGAGGAAAAATTTCCATATTATAAAATGGGAAGTGCCACATGTACATAACTATCTACATAATGGTGTTTATAATTACACGTGATACTGAATCCAACTTTAATTCAAATCTCACACTTGCACATCAACATCCAGATGATTGCCACATC